CAAACAGAGCCCTTACAGTTTTATCACTGCAGATAAACCCAGAGTGAAGTTTCTTTACGCTCTCACCATCAGAGAGAAAAACAATTCTGGCAAATAAATCTTAAGAGGATAGAGTAAAATCGTTTTAAGATGTACTTGCAATTAGGCACATGATACGGCAGTCAATCCCCAACAACAGAACTACAGGGGCCTGTCTGCAATTGGGCAATAAAACTAGAGGTTTATCCGCAATTAAAATTGAGGATTAACCCACAGTACTAAAAAAGTGTTGTTGAAAGGAGCAAAACCAATGGGGCCATCAAGACAAAAAGAAGCATTATTGAATTCTGATTGAATAAACACCACAAAGGTTACCAATCTCTTGTATAAAAAACAGTAGGTCTAAAGTTCCATGACAAAACCAAAGCCAAAAAGATTTCCTCGAATGTGATCAAGTACATATAAATACGGGATTTGCTGCAACCTACAACTTCTAAGTTTCTTTCCTACAATCTTTACCAATACATTCTCCAAACTCACACTACAGAACCAACAAAACCAAAGTAAAAAAAATACAGAAAAAGAAAAAAAATAAATAGGAAATTTACATATTGAAACCTGGCAAAGGGGGTAGAAACAATGGCCCCAAAGAATTTAAAATCCAACGCTTTTCCGTATCACACCAGAGCTTGATTTTTCACCGCCAGCCCTCTCTGCACGTTTCTTTAGTACAATCAAGAGACTCTTGTTGAGGCTATGAGGCGATAAATTGAGATATATCTTTAGACTATCGAAGAATAAACCAAACAGAATCTCAGATGGATCTTAAAGTAGTCCAGCAAGCAAAGCGCCAGGATCATTATAACCTGAACCAACAACTGGAGACTGTGGTTGTAAAGGAGGAGCTTGGGAAGGAGCCGGGGTGGTGGTTTTGGGGATATCAACCAAATTTTCCTTGATCAACTCTTTCAACCTATAGTGTACAGAATGATTACTAAAGCTTTCTAGGTTAATATTGTATATAACGAAACATAGCAGAGAATAACTCACTCAAATGTCAATGTTGGGTCCACTGAAGCAATTGTTAATCTCAGCTGGGTTCTATCTGCTGGATCGGTTTCAACTCTAATCTGAAAAATCATACGAGTTGTCAGTTAAAGATAAATTAAGTCCATTTCATTTTATCTGATTTAACAAAACAAAGCAAAAGCACGATAATTCAATTTGAGATATTATCAATCTGATATATTTTCAGAACTTGCAGAACACCAATTATGATTCCACCCAGGGACATGCGTCAGTAATTTAGTTAACAGTCTTAAATGACATCTGAATCAAAGCACGAGGAGGAGGTTCGTCAGAAACCTAAAAATATGAGTTCTGTAGTCTTCTAGACTGGTTAAGATGAGCAAATTCGCATGCTCCCACATAAAAGTAATTTTCTACATTAATGCACTACCCGAACACAGTATTCTTGAACTCTTAAGATCTTTCACACAAATGTGATATCACTACCTAGACGTCAGTCAACCATGTAATAGCCATGAAAACAATTTGTCTTCCTCTTACCAAGCAAAGAATAGCACGAGTGGTCTCTGAGTAGAATGTTGCGCTTGCAACCAGATTATTTGGATTTGTATCCTGAAATGAGTATCAAACTGTAAATAAAATGAAAAAAGTAAAGACAATTTAAGTACAAGTAACTTACAAGTCCTGGAGTAATTCCCAGGTGAAGACTGGCAAACAAGTTAGCCATCTCAGGAAGCGATAATGGTTTGACACCTCTAACCTGCTCAGAGGAACATCATTAGTTAGAAGACTTTATTAAGGGATTAGAAGTTTTGTATTAGTGTACATAACTAAGACATATCTTTGCACTAGAAAGTTTGAAACCAAAACAAAAAACAAGTTTCTGTTTCAGTCATATGAAAGAGTTGACATATATAACTGTGTGAAAGAATGTTGTCAATTCAAGTCTAAATAAAAAAATTTTAAGGTAAGACAGATCAATTCAAGAGTCGTTCCATATAATGGATCTGCTTTCATACAGATAGTAATACTCCTCCATCAGCACTCGTAAGTTGCTTAACTTCATATTTAGGACAAGCAGGAGATTCATAATACAAACCACTTCTTGCAGCTTCGATGGTGGTCCAGCCAAAGATTTCCACTGAGGGAAAAACTCTTCAGCAGAGACTGCTACAGGTTGCAGAAACTTGCTCAAGACAGCTGGAAGGCGTAGCTTGACATTGACCTAAATACCAAACAAGCTTTTTAGCCATATACGCAACTTTATATCAAACATGGGGAAAAGGAAGTTTGAACATACTGCTGCAGTTCCAAAATTATATGAAAAATCAAGAATGGCAACATCTCGGCTTGCTCGCAAATTTACAACTTCAAGAGGGCATTGCACCTAGACCATACAAAGAAATGAAAGATATAGTTGAGAATAAATTAAAACCCGTGACATTAAAAGTCAATGTATTCTACCACTCCTAACCTGTGCTCTAGGAGGAATGGTCTCAGGCACCAGGGAGAGTTCCATTTTTAAATGAGTTGGAGGTAAGATAACAGCTCGCACTGAAGTAAGAGGAGAAGTATTCTTGTTTCCCAAGAATAGAACAACACGCCCATGGTGTGCTCTCCACTCGGCCTTAACTCCAATCTAATAAACAGAAAATAGGAAAATATTTCAGTTAAGTGCTGGAGATATATCTCACATTGTCCCAAAAGTGTAATACTACCAGAGCTCTATATCTAAACAATGGCAGGTGAAAAGATGGTTTGGCAGCAAACCTGGATGTGAGGGTCCTCATATAGCACCCCACTATCCTTCAGACACAAGGCATTATACCTATCAGCAATGTTACCGATTGGCTGCAAAAACATCCACAATGTGAATACATAAATATGAATGTATGTATGTGCATGTCTCTGTGTGTGTGTGTATACACATTCAAGGACATGATAAAGTATCTAAAAAGTCAATGGTCAAAGGGGTCTCTGAAGAGAAAAACTAAAATTTAACAGGGAATGCTATTAAAGAAAAATGTCAGGAAGCTTTACAATAACAAAAACTAACATTGAGGATAAAAGAACATATTTGAATACCTGAACTGTATTTGATTCTTCATTGACAGTTGCTAGCGCTAGAGCACCTATTGCATCAGCAGTAGCATCTACACTGGGCACCATATTTTGCTCTGCTGGAACAGCAGCAGAGGGTGGACCCTCAATAGCCAAAAGGTCACCTATGAGATCAGGTGATGGGACAGGTTCACGGTCTACTTTGTTTACAGCTCCATTTTCTCTTGACATCTCTTGATGGGAAGTAGCTTCCTAAATATCACCCAGCATCATTAGCACCAAAGGTCTACATTTTCGGAGGTAAGAATTAAACGGAAAAAATCAGAGTCCAAACCATATTTTGACTTGGTATCCGCACAAGATTCAGTTGATTAACAGGTAGAGATCCATTAGTAGGCCGTTGGTCAGTTACAACCAGGGCATTTGATGTCTGCTGTTGCGTTCGTAACTTAATGGCACTTTGTTCTGCGGTGTCAACTTCAATATCTTCAGCCTTCTTAAGCAAAGCAGACTGTTCAAAAGTGGTAACAAAGTTATTCCCAGATGATACCATCAAAATTTCATAGTGCAGTCTCTTTTCTTTTTTATTCACTGAATAATACTTCACTCAGTTTCTGATAACAGTATACTCTCTTCAAAATGCAAGTTTAGACACACCTGACGTTCTGGAAACTTGGGCATCTCAGCCAATATGTCAACCAAAGCTTCACCTTTCCTGCTTAGTGCAAAATATTCAACTGCCCTTTGTTGTATCTCAACGTCAATGTAACTTTCATACCTGACACACAAGGGTACAACATAGTATCCTGATATGATTATCTATGCCAAAAGACAAAGGAGTTAGAGGAAGAAAGCCTCAATCTTACTTTCTAAATATCGACCAAATTTGTTCCCGCAGCTCCGGGTCTGGAGGTTGGGTATGCATCAAAATCTTGGCAAATGTTGAGAGAAGAATGGCAACAGTGTTTGTACTGGGATAATGGCAGCTTAAGTTACAAATGACAAAGCTCATTGGTGAAAACAATATGTTAAAAGATGCAAGAAGAATGCTTCTTACGATACTGTAGGCAGCTTCTCATTTATTATTGCAAAAATTTCCTTAGGGCTACAACCAGGTCTTCTCGATAAAAGGTGGCTGTATTCCCCGAGTATATATGCGCTTACCTGTTGCATAAAAATTAGATAAAGCTAATGATATCCGCCTATATAGGCCAAATTTACAATAGCATAACATTTGTAACTCTTGTACAAATTAAAAGGGAAAAAAACATATCAGCTGCATATATAGTAAAAGTAATATCATGCGACATATGGACAGAAAGATCCACGCGCATGAAATGATGGCACGGCTAGATAATAAGAACTGGGAACTACAGTGTTTTCCAACATGTGGTCAGGTACTAGTAAATACAGCTAGTCCCTTGGGTAACTCACCTATAACCTAGTCATCATCAATGTAAGGATTTAAACATCCTTATCAAGCAATGTGCATTCTAGTTTTCCAATTAGGTTCATTTTAGGGGGAAGAATCAACAAAAATTAATACCTTCACCATTGTCTCATGTAAAGCTGGTTTATCAAGATACTCTCTCGCCTTCACTGCAGCATATGGCTGATATCATACAACAAGTGTCAGTATTTCCAAATGCAAACAGCTATAGAATTATATATCACCTTGCAAAAGAGAATTATAATTATTAGCATGCAAGTACCTGTAAATCTTCATTGTTGGTAACAAACTGGACAACACGATACCATATGTCATCACTAACAAAGTCTCCTGCTTTATCAATTAATTGAAGAATAACATCAACATACCTGTATGAGGAATAAAAATGAACCTGGTCAAAATGTAAATAACTTGATAGAATCCGTAACGTTAGGAACGAAATTAACTGGAGACATAATACAAAAGATAACTACTTGGTAAGTACTTGAAAAAAGAAACATGACACTTCCAGTACCACTATGGCATATTAGAAAGAAAAGTCAAGACATGAAAAACTGACATCACGTTTTGAAAACTCCAACTTAATAAATAACAGATTTAAAATTTTGACCAATTAATATTATATATTAATAAAATCTTGGTGCTTAATTTAAACGGCGATTCATTTAAGCAGTATACTAGCTTCCGGTTCTATCTTTTCTTCCAACACATGACAATCAGGAGGGGTTCTCATAGCTACATGTGTTTTACTATGCTTTCAAAACACATGTTTTAAATACTTGTCAAAAGAAAATTTCAATAATTATATATGTTGCTATGGTTTGTAGTTTGTACTATATGGACCTAGATGACTCCACTTTAATAATCAGAAAAGTGATAATATTATGGTAAATTGCATTCTGCACTGTCAGTGACATACAATTCACACAGATACTTGAAGGAATGGGATAAAGTGATAATATTATGAAAGAATAAAATGAAAAGGTAAATTGCATTCTGCACGATCAATGACATACAATTCACACAGATACTTACAAAGGAATGGGATAAAGATTTTGAGAACAATGGTTATTTGGCAGGAGTGCAGTGTGTGCCCAAACCAGGCTGAATGAACATGTCTAAGACTAAGCTTGGTTGTGTCTTATAGTATTCCTTATACATTGCAAATAAAAAGATCTATGTATATTGTCCCACGCTCTATATCTCATCTTAGTTCAGGATAATTTGAGATCTTCACTGTATAAGAGTAACATTGTGAATTAAAAGGCAGCTTGCTATCCACCTCTCCCTTAGGTCTTATGGTGAGGCTGTGGATTAACAATAGTTCCCTTGCACATGAATTTACCACAGAAGTTCATATTAGACTTCAACGAAGTAAATTTTGATCAATCCTTCTTGGTAGCTGTCTTACTTTGTATATTTCATAGCCAATACTGCTTAGAGATAAGAGATAGCGAGGAAAATGACAATTGAAAATCATGTAAGATATACTAACTATTTGTTATCTTCAGGAGACATGTACCTAGATGAACATGTGAAAACAGTATGAATGAAAAGACAAGTTTTCAAACTCAATAATTCAATAGTTAGAAACTGAGCATGCCACCTCTGAATCTTCAAGCTTGTGACATTATTAAGCATAGAAATTAAACTAAATGGGCTTCTCTGCTTACGCAGGGAGTAAAAGTAGCACACACATTCTAACCCCTCTTGATCCGAAATGTGAGTATCCTGGATCCTACAACCAAAATAGAAGATATGCCTGTATCCGATTTCTAACAACTCATCATGTCCCTTGAGAGTGAAAATGAGTGACAGGGCAGAACCCTAAGTATGTGACTAACTTCGACAAGAGATCTTTACAATTGAATATCTAATGATTGATTTATATATATACATGCTCAATGTCAAGTACTTAACTTTCCTAAGTCTTTAATGAAATGTGAAAAGACAATAACTTTAAATACAATATGGATTACACATTCCAATTCGGATGGGCATAAAAAAATCAGGTATTTTTACCATGATAGGTCTGGAGCAAATTTCTCTGCCAATATGGCAGCCTTAAGTGCCAATTCTTCACGCATGGCGAAGTCTGCCGTGCTAAGATACTGAAGGAGAAAAGGATGAGTGACTTCAAGTGGAATAGTTTAATACAGATACATTATCCTGGAAGCAGTGATCCCAGAATTCAGATAAGATGTGTCAAGTCATAACACTCATTTGTACCTGCAATAACTCTTCAACTATCTCCTTCGCATTTGTGATGTCACACATCCCATAAAGTAAATCAAGAGCACGCCTTCTGATACTGCATAGGAAAAGAATAACAGCTATAAGAGGAACGGTACTGACATACAGCAGGTAATACATTGAAACCCATATCATAATGAAACAAATTTACATATTAAGGCATGTATTAAAAGTACCATTCAATGTGGTTTAACCTTTCTACATGTAAGGTCATTGTCTTGTCAAACAAAGTCCCCATCATGCATGCACCGCAAAGTTTATCTACTGATATGGAAAAGAGATCTTATGGTCATATTCCATTTAATTAATGGAAAGACCAACCTATTAAAGATATGATGGAATTAGATCACACTTTATTGCCAGGTGATAAGTGAGGGGTTCAATTAACACCCCATCCCCCAGCACACTTTGTCTGATAGCAGCTTTGGCATTACAAACATGTGAACAAGAGTTACCAGCTTCAGTTTTGTGTTTCAATATTGTTATTCTATCTGAAAGAAAAAGTCACACACGCACGGGCGGATGAAAACACACATGTGGACTTAGGTATTATGCTAGTTGGGGAACTCTAATGAAAACAAGAAAATATTTTGCACGGATAAAACTGAACACACGACTGAAAACTTGATCTAATCTCTCCCCAAAAAATAAATGAGTTGCTACTAAAACACCTATAGGAATGCAAAGCTTGTATAGATCACTAAACAGCATATTCTCTCTTTCGAGTGCAGGTTCTATCAGAGCGCCCCGCACGGGGCGTTCTGAACCGCAGGATTGGGGAGGAGGGGGTGATGGCATTTCACTGGCCCCCTTGGCCTAAGAACACCCCACGTGGTGGGGTGTTATGAACTTATGATAGAATTTGCAGTCCTCTCTTTCCATTTTATAAATCAGCAGACAGCATGCTGCAACTTCCAGCTATCACACTTCTCACCTAATTACCCAGAGAACATTCTATGAGGAGTTGGATTGAAATGCCGGACAACTTGTCGCTCCACTGTGAAGACTTCAACCAGATTCATATATGGTAGATTGAAGCTCCACTGATGAGATAATACCAAATACACAAACATGCAATAATGCATCTGATATGTATTCTGATCAGCAAGACTCTGTAGTATTACCATGTCTTCCCATAAAAAACTTAATAAGGCAAAATTCTAATAGAAAATTTAAGTTACATATTGAACAAATGAAGTTACATAATTATTGGGACGGTAAGATCTAGAAATTCATTAGTCTATTATATGTACATTGTACACTTGTAATATGCATTAAGAATAATACTATCCTAATATTTCGTTTGAAAAAAACCTATCCTATAGCTTACCTGATATCAGGATCTTTCAGGGAAGTAATAATTTGGGCTTGATGTCTCTTAATAATATCCTGCACGTCTGTGACCAACAACATCCTGGTCATATTTTCCTGCAACAGGACAATAGAAACCTTTCGTAAGAATTCATCAGCTTTAATAGTTGCCTAATTGGATAAACGCAACTTTTACTTCCCATCAAATACTAGTGCATTTAGGATCTTCCAAATTCATGCAATTTCTTAAACCTGTAAGAAAGCTATAAACTTGAACTAGTATACTTACTAGGCCTAGATAACGAATATTAGGTTCTCGGACGGCAATAAATTTGCCAAGTAAAGCCACACATTGGGACATCATCTCCTTTTCAGCATCAAGATGCATAACCTGCCATGATAAAGAAAACAGAGGTGAAAGCTCTTCATTGTAAAAATTTATTAATAATCAGAATATAAGCATTGAACTTCAATGTTTAATCCCAACTACATATTGGATCCATAAAAAATTAGCTTCAGCTTTTGGGTGCAATGATTATTCAACATGGTGCCAGATCACCTAGTTTGAAGAGCATATTCAAACCACATCGGCGATAAATAAAATATTTTCTTATTAGACCCATTCATATTGATTCTCAAAGCCTGCCACGTCATAGGAACCAGCTGCCAACATGAGGAAGAGAATTTAACTCAGTTGAGATTCTTAAGTGTACATTGTTGGCTACAACCAATTTACCTAAAAGCCTCTGGATGTAGCTGTTATCAAACAACAATAAAAACAGGGAACATTCTCTAAGAAGGATTCATCATATCCTGTAAGAAATTCTGATACCATTAAAAATAAAGTGACCAAGAGAAGAAAAAGTAGAATAAATATTCAGGACCATAACAAGCAGAACAATCTGAAAAAAGCAATGTGATGTCACAGAACCAAGCACCAAGGGCATGCAGCAGAATTAAAAGTCAATTGATTTTTGGACAAAAAAAGATCAGCATGATCCCATAAGCTTAAATAACAAAAGCAAAACAACCTTTCCTGTAAATTAGTACAAGTATAAGAATAGTCATCAGCATGAAAAAATACCAACAATATATAAATTGCAAAAAATCAATGGCTACACTTCATTTTCCTTCTTATACCTCTGCTCATCATCTTCATGGGAAAAGGTCAGCGCTACTCTATAGCTTTCCCATTAAATTATAGTATTATACTACTCTATGACCCGCTATGGTATTGCAATCATTCAGATTGTATTCATGATACTCCAATATTATTACATGTCAACAATTCATCGATGAAATGAGACCAATCATCATCATCACAAATGTCAATTGAAATTGGACCCTTAATAATCAAAATCTTAATTCAGTCAAATTTGGCCCCAAACTAAAAGGTAGCCCAATTGTCAATAGATAAAAACGGAGTGGTCTTTAGTTACCCACTAAGGAAACATGAATAACTAAAACTAGACCCTATAATTTTATTACACTGAGCTATATACAATGCAATGTAAGGAATTATCCATTTTCTATTTGATAATCAATCAAAGAGAGTCCATCTAATCTTTTGATTAGTAAAGGAACTCAGCCCTTAATTTTAAAAGCAAAATGGTCTATGTAGAACATAAACCCAGAAAAAAGAATAACCAGCATGGTAAAAGAATACCAACAGTCAAATTTTCTATTAAATTAGTTTTAAGCCCAGAAAATCCCAGTCGTGAAACTTTTAGGGCAAGTAGGGAAGCATTTCGCTAGATAAAAATGATAAGGAATCAACTTTTAAGCTGTAAGCTTACCAGAGCAAGGGCTTCAAAAAGAACAGCATGTGATGCATTGTTTTTGTTTACATTTTTTACCACGTCAGTCCCCATTAAAATACGTTGAAGGACCTAGAAAAATGTAGAAAATGTCAGAAATGCAGCATTGATGGCTGTATATCAACTTAAAACCATTTCAAAGTAACTATACCTCAAACAGAGCTCTTCTGGTGTTTGGATCTTCAACAGTCGGAAAGTACTGGAGAACCCTCATTGTCTTAACCTGCATCAGATAAATCAAACCAAGGTGAGATACAATGTCCCCTAGTACTTAGTTCAAGATGCAGCAAGTGGCGCATTTGGATAGAAAGAAGCAGATCAAGAGGGTATGATTCATATACTATCTATTTTGACCAAGCCTGAATTTAGCGCAATGCGTTACATAAGGGACACAAGAAAAGCTGTAGGCTTTCTATAGTTGTTTATGAAATCTTCTACCAGGATTGACCGTTGATACAAAGCCCAAACCATTAAAACTCCTTGTAGTTTGAAAGATTGAAGCTAGTGCCCTAAAACGACAAAAGAATAAAGAGTGACACAGACCTGAAGCCAAGGAGAAGGGATTCCATAGTAGGTATACTCTTGCGGTATATCTTGGTTTCTGGCCAGCCTCTCTAGAATTTTCACACATTTAGGAAGACAATTCCAGTAAGCATCAACATTATTTGAGACTAGGGCAACAAGAAGGCTCATGACAGATGTCAGTACTCCCAAGTCACGCTCATCCAGGAGTTGCGCCATGCGATCGGACCTGCAAAGTAAGGAAATCACAGATCAGAAAACAAATAGATGGAAAGTGAACACATGTGAAACAGATTAACTTACCATCCATCTACATTAACAACATCAGGATTTTTTCTATACAAGCGCAGAAGACATAAAGCAGCTTTTTTTCTTACAAGAGGCCTGCAGCTACTTGAAATCTGATGACAGAAACAGAACTGCTATTAGTATATCATTCAAACACTTGCAAAAGCTAACAGAGAACGTTATTGTCATTTACAAGTAGTCTTTGAACATCAGGAGCTAGTGATTCAGAAAAATCTCTGCCACCAATATTTCCCACCTACAAACAAAAAAAAATAGAAAAATAGAATACTAATTAGTTCCAACATATAATATATCTAGATTAAATAATCTGCACAATCGGTCCTTGTATATAATGTTAGGGAGTTATTATATTATTGATGAATTTTATTCTCAAAAAACATAAGAACATTGAATAGAAGTGTGCCAGACCACCTTATTTGTTTTTTTTGTTGGGTTATTTTAATATATACCCCTTAAACCATGGGTAATTGCGAAATTACCCTCGAAATCTCAGTATTTGCAAAACTACCCCTCAAATCATCAATTTTGGGAAAAAACATACCCTCAAAGCAATTAATCATCAACATTTATAAGCTTATTTGTAATCTCAATGTAAAAATTATCAACAAAATAGTCAAGTTTTTAGCATCAACTTGATGATTTGTTGATTTTAGGGGTATTTTTTCACAAAATTGAGGATTTGAGCGGTAGTTTTGAAAACACTAAGATTTGGGGAGTTTTTTGCAAATGCCCATGATTTAAGGGGTATATATACAAGTAACCCTTTTATATTATACATGTGGTAGATTACTAACTTTAGAATTTCTTTATAATCACATTATAACTTTTCAGCATTTCCTCGACCAAGGACTTGCCTGCAATTCCGTTCTTCACAAACAAAATTGTCACTCAGATAATCATAGAGGATATCCAGGTTAGTATTCACATCCTTCATTTTCAAGGATACAAGTCCAAACGAAATCATACATTCAACTTATCCACAAAGACAAATCAATGTATGACTTGGTTGTCTTTTTTCTATGCATAACAAATTTCATCTTATCTTAGTCACGTTTCAAAAACATGTGTCGCACATATATTAATAAACTCGCAAGTAACAAAAGAAGTATGATTATTAAAATTAGCTAAACTTTCCCTTTTGGTCATGTTGCATAGTTCTCATACCAGAGAGAAAAATTGTTGTGCAACTATTTTCCAAGTCATCCCTCATCCCTATCCTGATTTCAGTTTTCCTAAGGGACTAAGCTGTAAGCATGAAATCTAGCTGTCAGACATAAGCTATTAAACAAGAAAAATAATAAAGAACATAATGCAAAACTAGAAGAAACCACTCGACCTTGGGATACTAAAACCTTGAGAACTCATGCCCACTAATGAATCTGTGATGACTGGTCTGCTTCAAGTATGACACTGACTTCCTGAATTATTATATAGTCAGCATGAATTCAGAAGAATTTCTTTACTTTGTCCCTAATCATAAATGTGCTTTATAAGCACAACTACTCTTTTACCAAAAAAAATTTAGGTTTATTAAACAATTCTTTTACTTACCTTGCACATTTGTATGCATCTTACTCAACAAAGATGTGGTAAGATGTCTTCTGAGGATTAGTCTCGACTCTCAAGTTTTCTACCAGATAGATGCATAAAAGGTTATGCACATAACAGTTGAACGGGACCTCTAGCAAATTGTCTCAACTCTCATATCCATTATAGATCTTGACAACATGTATACTGCTAAAGACAGCACATAGACTGGACCAGAAATAGCTAACTGTAGAAATCCTTGGGCACAGACCAGTTTTTTATGAGAAAATTCACAGCAATATACAGCTGCAACAGAACTTTCTAAAGCATACTTCTAAAAAGCATCCATCACGAGACATTTAAAGAATAACAGTCGTTTGTATAAGAAATTCCACCAGCATATAAATAGTTACAGTATCAACAAAAAACTCCCTTGGAAATGCAATGTACATTCCCAAAAATATGTCTATCTTTGCAACTTCCAGTTAAAGAAGTTTGAAGTAAAACAGCCTCCATACAGTAGATAGATAAGTTATCCTAGATGATCATGGCACACAATTAAATTTAACAAAATCCATAGTCAGAAGACAGCAGGAGCAAAAATACATGAGAACATAGAGGCTAAAACAGTACCATTGTCAGTGCCAAGCATTGGAAGGTTTCATTCCTCCCTATAATATCATTGCGTACAGTATTTATAACCATCCTTAGAAAGTCATGGTTTTCATTGAGCAAGCAAGATGTCACAATGTATCCAACCTGCAACATAATTTGACACATACAATCACAAAGAAAAACAATTGTGTGTGAAGATCAAATATATTCTATAATCGCCACCGAGGACACACACTGAACAAAAACTATGACCAAAGCAACAAGAGAATGAAGGAGTTAAAAGAATCCGCTCAAAAAATAAATTAAGAATCGACACATTAGCATAAATGTTAGGTTGGCTGGCGATATAGAATCCTACATTACAAATCCTGTAGTCTAAGTTGCCGAAATATGGATTTCAAGGCAAGTTAAATTGCATTCGGCAAATTAAACTCCAAGGCAACAAATTGAAGAAGGGTTCATGATAAGAGAGCAGGCAGCAAAAGCCCTTCAATAAGCTTAAAGAAGAAAAGAGAGATAAGATCTAATGTTTTCTAGTGATGAGTGCATGTCTCATACTTCTAAATCAAAGGCTTTCGTCCAAAATTAACCATTCAGGGGGGGTGGGGGGATACTGCAAGAGGATTTGGCCAGAGCTTGAGAAAAAGAGACTCTAGGTCAACTCCTCTAGATTTTGGTGCATCAAACATGGCCTCACTGTGAGAAAACAGAAAAGGTTGCATGGCCGTGCAGGCATGCACACAAGTAAGCACCACTATGCATGCATCAAATATTGCACATGCCTGCATGCAGACAAGGGAACTGACTTGTTCATAAGCTGGAGGCTCATGTTCTAGCTTCCCAATTTCTCAAAAATTAATAAATATCTCTAAAAATAAAAGCACAGATAGGTGTAGATTATGGAGAAAAGATGCCCTTACCTGCTTCTCTGGGTACTTTGGTGCAGATATTAGAGAAACAGCCTCCGTATGACCAAAATCAACGTCATAACCTAGCATGTAAATGTAAAGCATCTTCCACACATATTTCTTTTTCTCATAAGGTGACAAACCCTGTCAAAGAAGGAAGTGCTTCCGTTGGTATCTAGTTCATCATGTTCAACAAACTTCCAGGAAATACAAATAACAAATTACTAACTGGAGCATTAAAATGAAGTCATATTCTTGCTAGTTAAAATTGAAATACTAATGCATAAAGTACTTGATAAAGAAATGAAAAAACAAGAACTAAAAGGGTTTTCTCATCCTAGTATGGCATGCTAATAACAGGCTACGATGATGTCAAGTATGCATTACTGGACAGTGTGCTCAGCCTTAAAGATTTTCCTGCATCCATCACCGCAATAAAGATGGTACATAACATAGTAATCAGCTAAACCAACTGACCAAAAATTATTCCTAGAGACACATATGTAAATCAATAATTCAAAACCAAAGGAAGGTAATTATAATACTGACAAATAAATGAAAATGAAAGTTTAAAGTTCTATATGTTAAGACTCTGGCATAATGCAGTTTAAAACTTTAAAAATGGTTATAATAGAGCATAGGATGGCAAAAACATGGATACCCAATTATGGTTTAGATAATTTTTGCCTTGTCTATCAAGTCTTTGCTGTCCACTATTGAGAAAAACCAAAGTCATAGTATATTATTACAATTGTACGCTGGTAATTGGTTAGTATCATTTCATAACAAACATCAAGAGGTAAATGCGAAAAAGGGAGGTGCCAATGTTCCCAACCCCAGCAAACGTAGTACAGAGGCTGCTACAATAAGAAGTTCGCATAGAGGCTATTGATTTCATAAGTCAAAAAGCTAAGGGACATCGTATTTAGCACATAATAATTTCTCTTTCTTATTTACAAGTCAAAAAGCATATTACCCTATGTCATCTTTAAAGCATTTATTCTCATAATTCAGCTTTCTGTAAGGGACCAAGGGGAAGAATCTACGATAACATTAATGTATGTATGTCTTTGTTTTTCTTTTCTTTTTCTTTTTTTTTTCTTTTTCCTTGCAGACATGACTACCTTCACTCCACTAAACATCACTTCGGTCCATAATTACCCGTCAGAAGGAACTAAACACCTGATGGCACAAACAAAAACAGTCCAAGTTGAGGTTAAAGGAAGAACAGACAAAGAACATATGAACAGAAGTGCAAGGGGTAAGGGCAAAGCAAGGAGAGACAAAGAAAAGTTGGCACTAAGTTCAATAGGTAGTGCCCATAGATATGTCCATCACCCTAAGTATCAAGACTTAAAGAAAATTATGCAGCCATAGCACCCAGTCTAACCCCACCACCCAACATCTATTGATGACAATAGTATCCCAAACAACTAAGTATTTTTTCTGAAGTTCCCAAAGAACTGCCTAAGCTTCGATCTAGTGCCAACTACCAATAGACAGCGCCAACAACCGCCTAAAACTTTGACGGCAATAGTATCACATGGTTGTTCTTGCCACAAATGCAAACAATCTGACTTGTTTACAATGTTTTAAATATCGGTTATCGGGGATTAATCGGACAGCCAAATTCCTTATCGGATAGCAAAAATCGGGATATATTAGGGATAAGCACTGTTTTAAAAAACCTCCGCCTAGCCCGCTTAGGCGTACGCCTAGGCCTAGGCGGTACCTAGGCCGCCTAACTAGCGCCTAACGTCTAGGCGGTATTTAGGCTGCCCACCTAGATTTTACGAGCGTTTAGGGGAGCATTGTCTGCTTACGTGGATTGCATCCTGTAGGCATTGATTGTGATTTTACGTGTCGTAGCCTACACGTCCTCCAAACTCCATTAACCTCCAAATATGAACACCTCCACTACCTCCTCCGACCTTCAGCAAAACCTCATCGATCATCACTTAAATGAAGAAAGAAAAAAAAAACGCCCAGAAACCGCTTAGGCGTCCGCCTAGGCGACTAAGCGCTGGCGCCGAGTCCGACGCCTAGAAGCGCCCAACGTGTAATGTAACATTGGGGATAAGTACTATTTATCGAAGTGATATACCGTATGATGTATATATATTATATATAATATAATACCCCAAATTGTAATCTAACCATACGCCCATCTTTCATTCTCTCAACCTTTACTAAATAACTAGAGAAAAAAACAATTGAATAGTGAATATTGTTTGTTGCTACAACTTCAGAAGTTGTGTTGAGGTAGTGGCGTCGATGGAGAGTCCAAGTCGAATTGTCGAACTCACGTTGATGATGGAGTTGATGAAGAGAGCTCGGCATTGATGGAGATCTCAGCGTCGGTCAACGTCGTCGAGCCGATCAGTTGATGATGGCGTCGATGGAGAGAGCACAGCATCGGTCGAAGTCATCAAATCGATGAAGTTAACATCGATGAGAGAGCAGCGTCGAATGGTCGAAGTCGATAGCATTGAGTTCAGCGGTCATTATCTAAATTGAATTACTGATCAAATTGGTAGATATCTCATCCATTTCTAATCGCATTACTGCCTCCTTCGAACTACCCAAAGATGCCTCTATTTCTTCTTTTCGGAAGAGAATAAGATTTACAGTTAAGTTTTGACTCTTGCATTTATCTTTCTTCCGTTAGACATCCTTCGCCAAACACCACTCACAATGTGACCTGCTACACCACTCACAATGTGACCGCAGCAGGATATCGCCGGATCCCCCTCCCTATGACTTAGAAGTACACATTTGGTCTATCTTTTCCCAGATCTCTGTTTTACATCTTCTGTGTGAAAATATTCAATTTTCATAAGATCTTTTGACTGTTACTCAAAAGGTCCCCAGAACCTCCGGCAGCACAGCCGAGACAGCGACGGGTTCTCTGCCCCTGCGGGGATGGAGCGACAGAAGTATTGAGAATCCAATCAGCTGCGTCATCCAAGAATCCTTCCAGAATGCGCCTAGAAAAATGAGTTTTCATTCACATCTGGGAAACCCAAAGTCCATTCCTGGAGGAAGGGATGAATGAAAGTACTCATTGAATCCATCGTTTGGGCTCATAACAAATTAAAAGTTGCTCCTGCTACTCAGCCTAGAGCCTTGAGCATTGTATTTGCCTTTGGCACCCCTATCGAGTACAGTACCCGAACCCGTTTTTTCGATATCCAGTTCCACCAGCAGTAAAGACAGTGGGATAGGTACCCCCAGCAGTTGCTTCAGCTGCTTATTTTGAACCATTTGAATCTTTTCCCGATCCCAAGAGACTGGGCTGACTGACGGACTAAGTCGATTAAAAAAACATATTTTTTTGGAGAGAGACTATTTCACCAATCGAGTCACAAGTATCTGACATATTCATACCTAACTATTTTCTACAAAGTGTTTGAAAGAAATTGTATTGCGAAGTAATCTGTATGGAGTTAGAGACGCATCCATTTGTGTCAGGGGTCCTAGATACGTAACCGCTCATGCTTGAACAGAATCTCTTCTATAAAAGAAGTGGAATGTCTAATTCCACGAAAAAATCTTTTTTTTAACAAGGTATAACTAGCAATTCCCATTTATCTGTTATGGAGCCCTGAACTCCTTCAATATCGCACTAACTGCCATCGAAGAATCGACATTTTAAAAGTAAAGATACTTAGTTGACATTCAGAAAAAGTATCTAATGAATTATGAGTTCAATAGATCCTGTTTAGCAGAAAGACGGATATTCCTTGCTCATTATCAGACAATGCAACCACTTGTATGCCTCAACAATCGCTCCCTTCCCCTGCTGAGTTGGTTCCTTCCCCTTTGACGATTTACTCTTTTTTTTGGCGAAGCTCGCCTCAACTACTTTCGAAACGCGCTGTCGAACAACGGAATGCATTCCCACGTGTATTCCCTCTTTATCGACTTCGTAACCGACAGCCAATTTCACCGAGATGGCAATCTTCCATACCGCCAAAGCCTAAGACTGCAGAGGAAATTAAGTGAAGTACTCCAGATACAAAGTATGGAAAGGTGTCTATAACTCCCCCCCCCGGACCTACCCCCCAACCTAGAGTAGCTAGGTGCGGAAGTAAAATCAATCCTTGTTCATACATGGGTTTTTCTGGTACGAAATGAGCCACTTCAAATAGGTTCATTGCTCCGGCCCAGAATACGATTAATCCGGCATGGGCTACGTGAGCCCCAAGCAGTTTACCGGACAAATTGATAAGTCTGGCATTCCCGGCCCACCAAGCGAACGTTCCCAAAATAGGTACTATCGGGTCGGGTGAATTAGAGAATAGACAGACGCCTGTTGGCATTCCAGCCTTCCTTCTCCTTTCAGGGCCTATCCGAAAGAGAATTCAGTACATAAGCAGTGTAAACTGTTTATCCCAAGATTAATAATCTTTGACTAATTAGTATATCTTGAAGTGGGTACAAAAGATCAACCGTATGAGGTTACACTACTACTGTCTTATATGTATTACCATACCGGGGATCAATCCAAAATCAGACCGGGTTGCGTCTACGGTGGGAAGGGTAGGATTTTGGTTTTTTGTATAGGATAAATAGGAAAAAGTGCATAATCTCGATGAATTCCTTCTGAGTAAATTCATAAATCATATGTAAGAACCAAAAAATGCTATCCATACAGTGACGCATTTAATTATGAAAGTTGGCTAGGTAGCTGACCCTGTTAGTCCGTTCTTTCAATCCTAACCTGAGAATCTTATTGGTGGAGGTGCAATGATCTGAGAAAAGATAGACCAAATGTGTGCTTCTAAGTCATAGGGAGGGGGATCTGGCGATATCCTGCTGGGACCTATTATGGGACATACAATGCATTGCAGACGTATGATCATTACGCTTCAACCGGGTCCCTATTTAGTGCTATGCATGGTTCCTTGGTAAGCTCTAGTTTAATCAGGGAAACCACTGAAAACGAGTCTGCTAATGAAGGTTACATATTCGGTATCTAGGGAGGATTCACTTTAGAAGGGACTATTCCTTAGATACCTACCTCGTGGTCCGCACTTGGCTACCCAGCGTTTACCGTGGGCACGATAACTGGTACACCAGAGGTGCGTCCTTCCCGGTCCTTGAATGGTCAAAGTCGATAGGGTTGAGGTCAGCAAAGTCCAAAGAGGAGCAGAGGCGAGCGTCGAAGTCAGCAGAGGTGAGCGTCAAGGTTGACGGAGTTCAAAGAGGATCAGAGGATTAGGATTAGAGGATTAGGGCAGTGAGCACATCCGCACAAATGAGGGGAGAGAGAACGGAGGATTAGAGCTACAGAAATGGATTTAAGTTTTATTGTAAAGAACGGGTCGGGTCGGGTTTCAAGTTCACTCAAAAACTGCCCATTACCCAAAATCACAACCTAATAGTGTGGCCCGATAATTTTGATTTTTGGAACTACTAATATCGACCAATAATCACCTTTATCGCCGCACTATTGCCGATAAACCCCAAAAAACGATAACCGATTTAAATTCCAACTCATCCTATCGGAAAGCTCCCAAAACCGATAACTCGGGGATAATATCAGATTATCAGCCGATATTTAAAACCTTGCCTGTTTAAGCAACACATTTTATGAATATGAGTAGTTTTTTTCTTCAGCATTTATTTACGAAACACTTATCAACCCAATTTAATATTATGACCCAAAACTTTTACAACTTTTTTCTCCTCTAAATCCAACAGAATTGCAGAATTTGAAGGTGATATGACAATCTTCGACATTCCACCAAAGGGTAATGCTAACAGAACCACATTTATACTTCTTTAGTAGTAATATTAGCATGAGAAGATGGATCACTTTACCTCAGCACCGATTTCTCGACCAAACAGAGTGACCTCACTATGCTCTAGTAACTAAATAGGGTTATGTGCCTACATATCCCCTAAATCTTCCATAATTGCATATTCACCCCCACCCCCCGCGAATCTTAGAATTGCAAATACACCCCCCAAATAATCAACCTTGCATTAGTATACCCCCTCAACAGTTAACTGAAGGAATATTCCTTCTTTCTGTTAAGTTATTACCTGAAATTTTAAATTGTCTAAAATACCCTTCAACTACTTCATTAGGATTATCATGTTAGCTACAAAACAATTTCTCCAACTGTCTCCTCCTCTAGCTTCTTTAATCTATATTCATTATTTTTCTCACCCATTGTTACCACCTGTGTCTTTCATACTCAAGGTTTTGTTTAAAGTTGTCAGCCATTAAAATTTCTTCTTATCCCACCAGTGAATTGAAATTTTATTGTGGGTTAGGAGCTAAAACTCCTTGTGTCATAGAGGGGGTAACAGAGGCTTATAGGTTGAGTCCTGCTCCAGCTACGCAGTCAGTGAGTGTTGCACTGGCATAGCAGCTTTCAAGTTGAAGATGGTGGCAATGGTTGAGATTTTTTTGCCAACGAGATCGGGACCGTGATCTCACTAGATGTTGGAAGGAAGGGCAATCTTGCCAACCGAGGACTGGCTGTTCGTCTTCTCCAAGGTTTTCCTCGCTGCAAAGATTCTCACTATGTGTGGTTGTTTGCTTCACAATGTTCATTCGGCATTGATGGATTCTAACATTTCTGAATCCCTCATTAGAAAGCTTCCCATTGTGGGTTTATTGCAATGTTGGTGGATCAATTTCACAAGATGAAACGTCGACAGGAGATTGGCCCTTGCATTACTAAAACCGTTAAAATAGGGTAGACTAATTCAAATATTAAAGATTTGGGGGGTAAATTTGCAATTATGAAGATTTGAGAGGTAAATATGCAATTATGGAATTACTCCTCTCACCTATTAAAATCCATATAGAATATGTGGTCATTGAGCTTCAGCCCAACTTAAAAATATGTGACCAGTCATATAGACAGCACGTAAATAAGCATTGGGTCCGTGCTACACCCTTATTACTTAAACCACCCATAAACTAAAACCTAACCAACCGATTCATAGTAAATTCAAACCAATCTTTTATTTCAGCCCCAAAATCCCACAAAGGTCAAAGTCCAGCTACCGTCAAAATTAGGTATCACAATCAAGGCGCTTGCTTTCTCGTTCTTGATCAGGTATTATGACTCGAAACTCTAACAAAGTTTCTTATCATCTAAATGTTACAGCATCATAGAATCAGAAGTTGATACAAAATCTCAGATATTTTACCTAAGGGTAATGCTATCGGTACTGCATTTTATATACTACATCGGTACTAATGTTAGAATGACAAGGCGAATCCCTTTACCTTAGCATCGATTTCAACATGAAGTTGATAGGCTTCTCCCCACTCTAGTAATAAAAAATGTATCACTCGCATTACTGAGCTTCAGCGCAAATCAAAAACAATTGGCAATCTCTACTGTGTGCCATTGCTAACCCTTATTACTCAACTTACACAAGCATGAACTGAAAATCTCTAACCAATTCATACTCACACAAGCATGAACTGAAAATCTCTAACCAATTCATACTCAATTCTAACCAATGTTTTATCTCAGCCCTAAAATTCAACAAATTCACTAATTTAAGGTTTCAAATGTCAAAGTCCGCTGATTATCTAAATTAGGGATCAGAATCTTACCTTCTCGTTCTTGAATCGGGTACGGATGTTACCAAGCTCTTTATCGACCCGAAGCCGCTCCTGCTCCTTATTCTGACAATTCCTGATGTCGCTAATGAAGACGGAGAGGCCTCTCATCCCAGAAAGGGCCATGGCGGATCGGATCAGCAGAGGGCTCGACCCGACCCAAAAAACCTCAGATCCGACGAATTCAAACGGAGATCTGGCGACGGGGAGCGAAGATCCAGAGGAGCTGGAGATTTGAAAAACCCTAGAATGAGATGAGAGGAAGAGATCGGTGGAATTTGGGGAAAATTTTAGGACTTTTGAATTTCCTCCTTTAGTCTCCGACTCTTTGGTGTAATAGCACTCTTTTTCGCTGGTTTTTTTTTCTTTTATTTTTGGTATTAGCATTTAAATACCTTATAGCTTCCCCTATTTTGCATTTTTATACCCCCACTTGTTATCAGGTATATATCACAAAGTTTTCAGAATTTACATGTTAATACATTTTCTAAATTTCTCATGTGATGCTCATAAAGTAATTTCAAACTTCAATGACCTTAATTTTTGTTGAATTGCTATTAAGCATACTCCGATTCTATTTTCAACACACCCCCACTCATATTTTCAAAATAAAATTGTTGAGGGTTTAACAATAAATTTAAAAGATATTAAGAACTAAAAATTCTAAAATTAACCTGTGAGTGTTTAAAGGCATGAAGTCTGAAAAAATTGTCTAGACATTAGAACGCAATTAAAAATTATCAGGAGATATTAATGCCATAAGGAACAAGTGATGAAAGTATATAAGTCCGACTCATAGAATCATAACCGGCTGCTGAGAAATTTCTTTTTTTTAAGTAGGCATGAAGATCTGGGTCGGGCCCCAAGGTAGTCTAGACATCCCTAAAAATTGGGGCTTTTACACGTAGCCAGTATTTTTCTCATAATATAAGTTTCTGAAAAAAAATATCATAAAGAGTGAAGTTTTTCCAATGGAAACCGTTCCAAACATATTCATAAATTCCAATTTGTTTCGGTTTGAACGTACCTAGGCTTATTGCCCAGATGGCTTATGTTATACTTAAGTTAGTGATTTGTAAAAGAATGTGAGAATGGAGCAAAGAAGAGGTGAATGAATACGATCAATGATGATATTCATGCTGATGCTCTCACATAAGTTAGTTAAGATTTGGTACCTACAACTTGATCTTTCGATAACAATATATCTAATTGCATTACAAATTTTTCTCACTAAATCGGTAATAAAGACTAATGTAGTAAGTATTAAGATTTGGTATCTACAATTTGATTTTTTGATAACAATTTGTCTAATTGCAGTACAAACTTTTCTCACTAAATCAGTAAGAAAATCTAATATATGTATTTTCTTCATCGTGTTTCTCATACTATGACTCCAATTCTATCTTTATTTTTATATTAAGCTCTTTTATTTTTAGCTTGATGAGGGACTTCCCTACAATCTTTTAGACTATGGGTATCAAATATCTTGCCCTGGCTAAGGGACACCCCTCAATTTTTTATTTTTTATTTTTAATGGAATTTTCGCACAATTCTTTAGGCCATGGGTATCAAAGCTCCCGCATGCGGCTGAGGGGGACCCCTCAATACACAGCCTCTGGTGCTCCAAGAAATTAATTTCCTATGGGTACTTCCTAAGAGAGTCAAACCTGAGACTTTACTGTACAACTCATAAGTAGCTTGCCAAATCTGGTAGACCCTCTTAGGCTTGTTTGCTAGAGTAGTGTTATATGCCCTTAAATATCCACTACATTTTTATTGAATATTAATTAAGTATTATTGTTGCACATGTTGCTTGGGTATCTTTTATATAATTGTTATATTATCCTTAGAAATTATTTTGTTAGATCATGCACTGTGATGGTCACTTACTTGGAGATATGATCTAATTCAGAGGTTTCTTAAGTTTGTGTTTAACCTATAACTAGTAAAGGATAGCTTTGTTATAATAGGTTATTATGCATGACAACGACATATGAGATGTGATGGTTGATCTCAGTTATCGGTAATGAAGATTCCCCGGGTGTATGTCATAAGCGCATATTTGATATGTATAGCACAAGATCTTATTTGGATTCTTTAGGACGAGTCACCTAAGATAAAGAGAATTTGAATTGTTACGTGGTCCCTTAGACTTGATGATATTATCATTTTTGATTTGATAATTTAGTATACTTTGATATCATGGTTAAGCTTGTTTTACAAGTGCTATACAACCTAGAATGTTGGGTTACTAGATTTCATTTAGGGAAATGATGAATATCTAGATAGGATCTAGTATACTCATTTTTATGAGTTAATTTATAATAAATATTCCATGAAGATATTAAATTCCCGTCGACGGGTGATTTTTTAAAAATTATTTTTCTAAATTTATTTTCTTATAAAATAAAATATTTTGATGTTTTAAAATAATTTTTATTTATGTTCATGGGGTTGTACTTTTTAGGAATGAGCAAATAGGTGATTTGTCCTGCTCAATAAAGTTGTCTAAAATAAATTGATACTGGAGGGGACTGAATGTAAGATAATAATATTCACGAATATTTGATCTCATATTATGAAAGAGCTTTTATAAACAGTTAGTCAGATAGGGATTTGATTGTTAAATTAAATTATTAATTTGATTAATAATTGGTTCTCGATATGGGACCCAATTGGTCTCACTAATGTCATTGGAAAAGGTTTACATG